GATCTTACTAGGGTTGTGATCTTACTAGGGTTTTATAAAGCGGTTCTAATACTTCGCATAATGTTTATTCTATGCCTCTATTTATACAATCCAGGATTGTATTAGCTTTTTTGGCTGCTGCTGCACACTGCTGGCAAATAGTCAAGTGATCATCCACTAGGACTCCAAGGTCTCTCTAACAGTTACTGTTTTTGAGCCAGGTCTTGCCTAATCTGTAGTTAAACCTTTGATTTTTCCTGCCTAAATGTAAAACTTTGCTTTTCTCCACATTAAAATTCATTTTGTTGGATAGGGCCCATAGTTCAAGTTTGTCAAGATCTTTTTGGATCCTGAGCTTGTCTTCTGGGGTGTTGGCTATTCCTGCCAGTTTAGTGTCATTTGCAAATTTGATGAGTTCCCCTTCAATTCCCTCATCTAAGTCATTTATGAATATATTAAAGCGTACTGGACCTAAGACGGAGCCTTGTGGTACCCCACTGCTTACTTCTCTCCATGTGATGTAGTACCATTGAGGACTACTTGTTGAGTACAATTTGTCAGCCAGCTACAGATCCATCTGGTGGTGATGTTGTCTATCCCACCTTTTTATAGCTTACTAAGCAGAAGTTTGTGGTCTACTTTGTCAAATAGGTTTGATAAAGAAAAGTAGGTAATGTCTTAAAGTGCACTAAGTGGCCTACCCTCCTGTCCCCAAATCCTCCATGTAAATAGTCATTTGTGTTCTAGAAGTGAAATTCAATTTAAATCAACATTAACTGATATTTCCTTCTCAACAATACTTTCTAAAACTGGGAGGGGAAGAACATTATTTGAAGCTTCTGTCCCTTATTGAGACACATTGATTTGTATTGATTCTGTATGTCAAATAACCTCACACAACCCTAGGCATTCTCCAGAATTGTGTGAACTCTAGAATTTTCAGCAGTGATCATTATAAGGAATTTTAGGGTGATGAAGTCCACATTTTGGAAGAATACCCAGGTTAGACAAGGTTGACAAATGTTTCGATTAAAGTTGAGGTGAGAAACCTGCTCTGATGCTTTTACTAACTAGCCATATACAAGTCTAATATGTCCACAGACTTGAACACACACTTTTTTGGTCCTGCCAAAGAACTACAAGCAGTTAGCTACATCAAAGGGTTTATTTGAGTATATTTCATTTAGATTTACCAGGACAAGTGCTGTTCAATATCCTATTAAACCTTCTGAAGATACTACCCTTTTTTTCCTAATCATTGCCATGTTGGGCGTCCTCTTGCCATAGAGTATCCTGAGGGCCAGAAAATTTGTGTTCTAAATTATATTGAGTATTCTATGATATGTAATTATTACTCTTGTTAATTTACAAGTAAAACAAAACAAAATGTGCTACTTTAAGGATGACACTGCGAAGATATATTTTAGAGGAACTATTCCAAAAATTGATCCCTCTGCTCGTAAGAAATCCTAATTTTTTTAATGTCTTTTTGTCATTGATAGAATTTATCCATATGCACATGTGACATCTTAAAGATTAATAGAACCACTGTGACATCAGCCTTCATAGTTGCAGACCTTTTCATAAAATGCAATCTGAATTCCATTTACAGCATTTTCTAGCTCCAAATTACACTGATTGAATACAGTTTTTTATATTTCTTTTGCAAATAATTAATAAAGGGATATAGCTCTATTTCAATAATATCTTTCTGAAAATCTTGAATGTTTTTGCTATTTTAATCTTATATGCCCTTTGCATAATGCAAGAAACATTTTATTGTAACTTTTTATTTCCTTATCATATTTAGAGAAATTGTATTTCATAATATATTACATTATGTTTCATATTGCAGGAAATATTAGCCTAATGTTGAGATTTTAAAAGCAAATCCCTTAAATGATTTATATATTAGGATGTCAGTATTCCTATCAAGCATTATTTTCTCCTGTGCTTTCATCAAGAAAAGTTCAAATGATAGATACACTGAAGTTTCATTATTAAAGATATAAGCTTATATATATTTGGATAAAATATATTTATAACAGCTTTGATTATTTGATTTAAAAGTTCAACAGTTATGATACATCTCCACATAGACAAGGGCAAAATCCCCTGCAATTAACTGGGTTAAGGCAGAGCCAGCTTTATTTGATAGCTTTAAAGAATTATGATAATTGTACTTCACCTTGTACTGCCCTGTTTGTACAGGTGTTAAGTTATTTGGAAGTTATACTCTGAGCACACAATTTGTACAGGGAACTATATTTTACCATATAATGAAAAGGCTAGTTTTGATATTTGTGATAAATACCAAGCTTAATCATTGTATGTAGATATGATATAAAATGAATATAAATAGTGTTTCTAAAATGTACTGAAAATGCATTTAGAAAATCACCGGTTTGGGTATATTGGTTCATTTTGTATATAGAGTTCCATGTCAGCTATGAAGCCAATTTTCAAATCTACTAGGAATTAAATACAGATAAGATTGTGATCTTCATGTTATTTTTCTTGCCTAGAATTTATCTTCTTACTTGCCACTTTGTGCCATGAAAGCCCTGTCGAGATTGCTTACACATTGTTGTTCATGGTCTTATTCTTATTTTTTCAACAAGGAAAAACATGATACAAACAAACAAAAAGAATTACATCTTTGACTAATGTTCTTTGGGAATTCAAGTTCCAGCCAAGAGCTTAAAGATTTATGCAAGGAACATTGCAAGATGCAACTTTTTTTTTTAATCTACAGTTGGTATAGCAAAAATATTTAGCTCATGTAATTTTTGTTATTTTTGTGACTAGCCAAAGGTAATGATTTATTCTGACACCTTTTTTATATTATTAAAAAATTGGTCAGAAGCATGATGGGCAATGGAGATCAATATCTAGGCGCCATTGGTGACACAAATATGTAAAAATTTTGATTTGGAATGCAAAAATTATAAAGAATATGAATTAACAAATAACTGGAAATAATGGAAAATAGATATGTTGTGTGTCTAAAAACTCAGAGAAAGATAATAGATAAAAATGAAGATTGTCTAATCTTCCGTAGTAGAGTTGATGACTGCATGGAAGTAAACTTGTAGGATCTATTTTGAATGAAAATGTATGTCAGAAAGTATGAATTGGTATCACCTAGATTAATTTGAGTACAATATATAGAAAAGTATAATTCTGAATATTGATGATAGTTCCATGTTATGAAGCAGCAAATGAGAATAGAAGAAACATAAATCAGTTGGAAAAATTGTGCTACATTCTGAATGAATATGATTAAGAATTTTTAAAAAATGAAAAATTGAAAACTATTTTTAAAAGATAAGCTGTTTAGTGGTTCTCTTATACTTCAGGATTCTACAGATGCTAATGCAAGAGCGTATCAAGATTAAAAACGTAAGCTTATGAATTAGAATGTCCTTGAATCAGGAAGCTTTTTCTAATGCATTAAAGTAACTAGTTAAACAGAACTAGTTGTTTGCATGCTTATATCCAGTATTTCTTCCCTTGTAGAATATATGTGCAATTGTCTTGACTTAGTACTGAATTGACCCTACATCTGGTAGAATGCATTCTCAGATCACAAAATTGCCCCATCAAAGTAGCAACTACTTATTTTGAGTGAAACTGACCATCATTGACATTAAGCCACTGTAACCAGGTTGGTGGCTTACCCTGTTCAGAGTCAATGGGATTTCATTCTTATAGATAATATACATAAAATATCTCTTCCTAACAGAGATAAAGCTCTCATATTCATCTGAAAACATTGCTAAATAAAAAAAAGACTATTCAGGCATCCATATTTTAATAATAAGGGAGGAAGTATCTTTTAAACATATTTTCAGTGCTAAACCTTTTGGGTCAAGATAGCCTCAGATTTTTTTAAACCGACAGCTAAGGTTATGTTAATCTATGATAACTGAAGCTACTTCATAAATTTAAACTGAAGGTTTTATGGTTCAGATCAGTCTCTGACTTTGAAACAGTATGTGAAATGCTCTTAGTTTTTAATTGTTCATATTTTTCTCTAAGTGTCATAATTAACAAAGAAGCCAAAATACAGTTAAGCAAAAAAAAAAAAAAAAAAGATATATTTTAAGGGGTTGTATGGGGCAGGGAGGGAAATTCAGTATCAGCAACTTTAACTTATATCACCCTTTCCCAACATGATCCTCTGGGTGATCTTCAAACTACAAATAAACTACCCTAGTTTTTTTTTTCTTTTTGCAAGGAAATGCATTTGTTTCCTCTTCCTCATCTTTTACATTTTCTTTTGCTTTTCCCCTTTTCTCCAACCAGAGGCATACACAGAATCCAATAGCAAGAGGAGTGATGCAGAAGACCAGGGATGTACGTCATTAGGAAAGTTTGCATGCCCAAGAGGTTCAGTAGAGTAAAATTAAATGTATTTCCCCAGTTGATTGAAGCTTCTCTATTGCTCTAGAGAAACTTCAAAGAAGATCAGAAAAAATGCAGATGGCAGTAGTTATTTTAGCATTTAATATTTCATTTACAGAAGCCTGCATTTAAAGGTATCCCAGAAAAAGAGACAGTGGCATTAATGTAAATTTGAGTCTTTCATAGATGATCACAGAATCAGGCCTATACAAAGAGAGCCTTATTATAGTAAAGGTAAAAGGTAAAGGTTTCCCCTGTCCAGTCATGTCCAACCCTAGGGGGTCGGTGCTCATCTCCATTTCTTAGCCAAGGTAGCCAGGGTTATCCGAAGACGCTTCCGTGATCATATGGCCAGCATAACTATTATGCTGAGGTGCACGGAACATTGTTACTTTCCCACCAAAGTGGTACCGATTTATCTACTTGAATTTGCATGCTCTTGAACTGCTATGTTGGCAGGAGCTGGGGGAACTAACAGGAGCTCACCCTATCATGAGGTATTTGGGTCTTGAACTGTCAGTCTACCAGTCAACAAACCCAGGGTCTTAACCGCTAAGCTACCACACCTGTTCTTATTTTCGTACTATTAACAATAATTGTTTTTCATTTTCTAGCCAAATTCAAAGACCTATTCACAGAGTGGCAGACATTCTGTATCAGTAGAAGTTCAGATGCAGAAGCAACGACAAGAGGAAAGAGAGAGTTTCCAGCAGGCTCAGAGGCAATACAGTTCATTACCCAGGTACGGCGTGTATCAAAAACTCTTTAGCCAACTAATAACAATTTCTTCAGAAGGAAATACAGGCAGTCCTCAACTTACAACAGTTCATTTAGTGACAATTTAAAGTTACAATGGCATTTAAAAAGTAACTTATGACCATTTTTCATTCTTACGATCATTGCAGCATTCCCATGGTCACATGATCAAAATTCAGATGCTTGGCAACTGACTCGTATTTATGACGGTTGCAGTTTCCCTGGGTCATGTGATCGGCTTTTGTGTCCTTATGATAAGTAAAAGTCAATAGGGAATCCAGATTCACTTAACAACAATATTACTAGTTTAACAATGGCAATGATTCACTTAACAACTGTGGCAAGAAAGGTCAGAAAGTGGGGCAAAACTCACTTAACACATGTTTCACTTAGCAATATAAATTTTGGGCTCAATTGCGGCTGTAAGTCAAGAACTACCTGTAAACCATTATGGTGATATGCCTTCTTGGTTCAGAAGAACTTCTGTTGGGGCTAAACCTGATCTGGAGTAAAATGAAGTTATGGGATAGAGCAAGACTGCAGTGCAATTAGAGGAGGAATGGGCCAAATTTTGATGCTAGCAACTGTATTTGGAATTCTGAGATTTATGGGGGAGGCAATTTGCTTATTCAAAAAAACAATTTTTGGAATTGACATCTTGATACCATTTCAGCCAACCTTTCTTACCTTGTGAGTTGCCTTCTACAGTTATTCTAATGAACATATATATAGCTAGGAGAAGAACTCAAGCCATTCTCCAAACAGCCATGCATGTTCACCTCATTTTATAAAACCTCCCTGTCCATTAATTTTATTCTAGGTGAATCCCTGAAACAAATTAAGGTTGGCTTTATAAAAAGGGAGCCAGGCTACTCAAATATACAATATTCACTTGTGTGCAGTATTTCTGAACCAATCTTACAAAATTTGCTTAGAATATACCGGGAGATGAAGTTGATTTTCTTGCAGCTTCATTCTACTCAGCCTGGTATTCTCCTGTTAAACTGAACTACAGTTCCAATTGTATGAAATCAGCATGACTTGGTCTGTGAGATAAAAGAAAGTCATGATATAACATATCTGAAGGTATTTGGTTCAGGAAAAAGCTATAGGTCATGGAAAATATCATAGATCATGGAAAAATCTGAAACTCCAAAATGCATAAGGCCTTGTACAATTCAAGTAATTAAGAGAAAAGAAGTATTAATTTGACAATACTTGTGGCAGTAATAACCACTTTCTTCTATTGCTGATAACATTTTGGATGTTAGCACAGATGTGTTTCATAAAAGTATGAACTGAACAAATAGATTGTATGGGAAAATGTGTCATTGGTTGCAATATTTAAATGCTGTGTACAAATAAGCTTTATTTGGAATTGAAGATTTATATATGGAGTGCTGCATGTGGTTCAAAGAGCCAGTACGTTGAAGTGGTTAAGGCACCAAGCTAGAAATCAGGAGATTGTAATTTCTGCCAACTGAAATTACTTTGGACCATTATTTCTTTCTAAGTCTTACAAAATAATAAATAATCCAAAAATCTTGCCAAGAAAACTGCAGGACTTTTCCAGGCAGTTGCCAGGAATACAAAGACACCAAAAACAAAACAAAACCCCAGACAAAACATATAGTCCTCAGTTCAGATGAACTTCAAAAGGATAAAGATTTGCTTGTAACTACTGTATATCTGTATATATAGTAAGTCCTTCAACACATTTTACTAATGATTTAAACTGGCCAATTAGATGAGTTGAATCGTGTAAGAGTCAGCCTTCAAAAACAAGCAGTTCAGGGACAAACAACAGGCTATAGTAAAAAAAAAAAAGTCAAGATAGCAATCACTATGCTGCTATTAAAAAACAATTCATTGTACCATCTTGGTTTCCATTTGGACTTTTTGGGATATATTATCTGGGGATCCCTGACAGTTTGTAAATAGAATGGAGAGCAGAATTTACAAATGCAATGCAGTTCCTTAGAAAAATGGATTTATGTATGGAAAAGTTTTTCATTTAAACAGGGTGATAATGAGGGATTGCTTTTATAAGAATTAAAAAAAAACATGTCTGCAGGGTAGAATGTTGCTACTCTTTGTTATTCCTTTTTGCAATTCATAAAATGGAAATATGATTGAGAAAAGCCCATATTTACTCATTTTTCCTTCCTTAGATGTAGCAATAGTAGCCCTGCAGATGTTATTTGACTACAACTCAGTTTGTTACCTGACTTTATATTGATTGGGGCATATGGGAACTGCAGTTTACAAGATTTGCAGGGCCACACAGGATCCCTACTTAGTCTTCTGTGGGACCAAATGACTGCGGAATGCTCATGAAAGGATCAACTTCAGTTTGGAGGAAAGTGGGTACCATAGGGCTTTGTCTGTTTTTTTGTTTTGTTTTGTTTTTTGTTTTTTTTTACTATTCAGGATTTTTGTCCAAACTGACCCCAATTGAGATAAGCATGAGCAGAAGGCTGGAAAGAATAGGATAGACTTTAACAAGGGGGAGTGTACAGTTCTGAATTTGGGTAGGTAAAAATGTGAGGCCAAATATAGGATGGGCAAGACATGGTGGATGTAAAAAGGATCTGGATGTCCTTGTCAATCACAGATTCAGTGTGACCCAGCAACATAATGCAATTGCTAAAAAGACAATTAATACTCCAAGTGGCCTTGGTAGGATCATAAAGTCCAGATTACAGGAAGTATTTTTGTAGTCCAGATTACTGGAAGTATTTTTTTTAAACCCTATGCTTTTCAGACCCCATTTGGAATAGTTAATTCAGTTCTGTCAACTGTCAATTCTGAAGCAAATTCCAGAATGGCTACCAAGGGGGTGAAGGGTCTGAAAAGCAAATCACATTTTCAGAGTTCTTGAAAATAAGCATGTGCAATGTGTATGTTTTAATCTATAAAACACATAGTGCTTTGTTTCATCTATTAGTTTCAAAGTGTTACCAAATAACCTTTGTAAAGATTCAGAAGATACAGTCAGTTCAGGGCAAAACATTTAATCAAGCTCTGTAATACAAACTATCTATACACAAACAAATTCATAACTACTGCGCTATATCCAGGCATTTATAAGTATAATTGCTATTCATAATTCATAATTTATCTTTCTATCCACAGATCAAATTGTTATAAATAGACTAGCCAATTTTGAACTCCTTTTGACAAGGATATCCAATTAATGTTTGTCATTTTAAGTCCAAAACTCCTTAAAGTCACATTCAGCTCCAAGCTGCAACATATAATTCAGAAACTTTTTTAAAAATGTATTTTAGAATCCTTGTTAGCATTATATACTCAGAGGGCTCATTCAGTTTACCATAAGTCATTTCATGAAGAGCTTCAGAAGCATTGTTATTCTAAGAGGCTTACCTAAACTTAAACAAAAGGACCACATTAGATACAAAAGACAAACACTTCACAATCTCATTGTGTTACATGCAGGTGCACAGAAATTATTATACCAGCTTTTATGGATAGAAAAACAAGGCCACCACAATTGTAACAGATCACCTGAAATATTTTGCATGAGAAAAAACCCTCATAGATTACTTACAATTCTTTTTAGCATCATCAAAGGACTCAGACTTATCTAATACCAGAATATTTAGCAACAATCTCTGTCTCTATTGCCCATCTTTTATTTATTCCTCTAATTTTAAGGAAAAAAAGGTTGTATTATCTCAAGTAGAAAAAGCATTGGGAAATGCAACTCTCTTGAGCCACCTGAGTACAGAGGATTTGGGAACACAAAGAAAAAGGATGCTTGGCCTCTGGGTTTAGGAGTGATCACTTAAAAGGCTCAAAAGATGATAAACTTAGCTCTCCTATTCATGGAACATCTACATGAACTGTTAGGCTGTTGTTTCAGACTGCATTCAAATGAATGATAATAGAATGTGGGTTGAAATACTCATTTTTACATCTGGGCAGGGCTGACTGCTAGGTACGGTCCAAAAAGTCAAGATGGCCACAAAAAAAAAAGTGATTGAAGCTCTGCCTGCTTTTATGAGTGATCACAATCATTTGTGAGCATCATCTTGCCTTTTTTTTTAATCCTGCCCTAAGAATACTCCTGCTTCTGGGATTGTTTTGTGCTCTATAGCGTTCCTACTATTCATTTAAATGTGTTCTCTCCATGGCTGATTCCATTTGCAAGTGTTTAAACAGTTCACGTTAAATGTACATGCCTTTTTTATATATGCTTCTAATACATGGACCTTGTAGCTTCTTTTCATAGCTCCACCTTTTTGCAAGCAGTTCAACTGAATGTCATATGTTTTTGGATGCACATTTTCTTAGTCTGGTGATTGTTGCATGTACTTTTCTTTCATGTACACAATTTTGAATGCATTTCTGACTTGCAACACTTAATGGGTTCAGGGCACACAAATTGAGTTAAGCACCCATTAAAATGCAAATTAAATGAATTTCTCTCCTGTCACTTTCTTGAATGCAGTAAATGGCCTCCATCTTGCAAAACATAGATCCTTCCCATTATAATAATAGTAGTAAAGTTGGAAGGGACCTTGGAGGTCATCTAGTCCAACCCCCTGCTCAGGCAGGAAACCCTACACCATTTCGGACAAATGGCTGTCCAGTCTCTTCTTAAAAACTTCCAGTGTTGGAGCAATTTACTGCTTCTGGAGGCAGGTTGTTCCACTGAGGATTTCCGACTGCGGCCAGTCATTTGGTTAATGCTTCAGATAGTTGAATACATTGTAAACCATTTTTATTGAGAGAAGTTGAATTTGCAGGCCAAGAAAAAAGATAGGCCTTTGGCTATCAAGGTAATTGATTCTATGCATACTAATGTCCCAGTTTGTGGCACCTTTTAAGGGGTTTGAAAGTTCTAATTATTTTAATCATACTAGATGTCAATACCATAATATTCAAAAAACTTTTACACTGAAGAATAGCTGGTTGTCTTAACCAAGCCAAACTAGGCAGAGGCACATTAGGTGGCAGAAGAGAGAATAAAAGTCATCATCTCATAAGAATCTAGCATGATAGAATTATCAGGTCAGTGTTCTTCTAAGATGTACTCATTTTATCCAATGCTATTTGCTGTTAATCATTGTCATATTCCAGTTTAGATTTTCCAGATTTAGCCTATTATAATAACATGCAGATGCTGACTAGAAAATATCTTAATCTTAAAAATCTGGCTATTTATATGAAACATGGAACATAAAATGTACAAAGAAAGCTGCTGCAACATGACAAAGCCCATTTTAAGCCAGTATTTTGCTTCTGAAACTGGTTTACTCAATGCTGGGGCAACAAGTGGAGACCATCTCTTCTCTTGCTACTATTGCCCTGTTATTTGAAGGCATGCTGAATCTAGGTCTAATACTATCTTCAAGACATTGACAGTCCTCTCTTACATGAATTTATCTAGTCCCATTTTAAAAATCCAAGTTAGTACACATTCATTAAGGATTAGGGGTTATTAACTCTACGGGTAATATGTTTATGTTTTCTATGCATAGCCAGACTTTAATTCTACTAGATTTGGATATTGTGATAAATAAAAAGAAAAGGGAGAGGAAAATGTTGATTAGACTGGTATCCACACAACATGAAATGGTATAATAAAGGAAAGAAAAAATATTTGGAACAAAAGTATAGGGCAATTTATATTTTATATCCTGCTTTTGATCAGTTATGTCTAGAGCAGCTGGATTGTATAGAAGACCTGCCATTAAATATGTTAGGATGTGCCAAATGCATCTAACTAATCCACAATCACATCTTCTGCAAAAGATAAGGCTCCAGTCCAAAAGCCGATCTCATATATTGAAGTCATAACAATCTCAGCATTATAATGTAATCATTGTCAGGAAATATAAAGGGTGTAAATAGTTAAATACTTAGCATTATTTTTGTAAACAATAAAAGCAAACTTCCCCTGCTGATCATCAATTTATGTCATATTGATTTGGTACAATTCTTCTTATTCCAGTATATTGAACTCATTTTGGGATGGCTTTCTTGGCAATAATGCTTAAACAATGGAACTCACTCCAGAGTGAGGCTCACTTTGTAGTTTAGATTGTAAAAAATAAAGAAAGAGCTTATGGTCCAGGTCCCTAAAAGACGACTAAACCACGGCAAACATTGAGACTATAATAGTTTCACATTGGCCAATAGATACTTCCTGAGGCCCACCAGTCAAACATGGTACAGTGGTTAAAATGCAGTACTGCAGATTACCTCACTGTTCACTTCAGGAGTTCGATTCTGATTGACTCAGCCTTCCATCTTTCCAAGGTCGGTAAAATGAGGACCCAGATTTTGGGGGGCAATAGGCTAACTCTGTAAACTGCTTAGACTGGGCTGTAAAGGATTGTGAAGTGGTATATAAGTCTAAGTGCTATTGTTATTGCTATCTAACCATAACAAACACTTATTTGTGATTAATTTATGTTATTAATTTATGTATTTATGTATTATTTAAGATCATATAGGATAAAGGCTTTATTGAAGATAGAATGAGTACAACATAAAGTAAAACAGAGCTTTATAAGAATAAAATACACATTTAAAATGCAAGTAACTCTTTTTACATAAGTGTATATATATATATATATATATATATTTCTATTTTTAGACAAAGTCGGAAAAATGCCAGCTCTGTATCTCAAGATTCTTGGGAACAGAACTATCTTCCTGGTGAAGGTTTTCAAAGTGCTAAAGACAACCCTCGGTACTCCAGTTACCAAGGCTCTAGGAACGGCTACCTCGGGGGCCACGGCTTCAATGCTCGAGTCTTGCTTGAAACACAAGAGCTCCTCCGTCAGGAACATCGGCGGAGAGAGCAACAGCTGAAAAAAAAGACTTCTTCTGAAGGGCCCAACAACTATGACTCCCATAAGAAAACTCAGGACCCTAATTATGCCACTCCCAAAGGTCCTTTCAGGCATGATGTACCACCTTCACCATCTCAGGTTGCCAGGCTGAACCGATTACAAACACCAGAAAAGGGAAAACCTTTTTATTCTTTAGTTGAAGAAAAAAGTCAGCGGCCCATGTAATAAAGGAATTTTTCATATAGAGAGACTTACATTACGGAACTCTATGTTTCAAATGGAGGGACTCTTATTTTGTTTTTCAGTGCCTTTAGCAAGATGGACAATGAATTGGAAGGCCTTATATATACATATTTTTTTTTGCCATTATCTTTCAAGTGTTATATTCACAAAAGGATTATCCATTATTTGACAATCATATTTGAGGCAAGCAATGAGTCTTGGCTATCAAGTATCCTAGCCAGTTTTTATTATAAATAATTGCTCATCAAATTACACCATTAGTGTTGTTCAAAGAGATACTTTTCTAGCATATAACATTGATTGTTTTCTAATTTAAAATCCCATTGCCATATTTTGTTTGTTTGTTTATTTCCCTTAATTTGAAGAAAGCAAGTACTTATCAGTTATAAGCAGTGAGCCAGGAATCTATTCTACTCTAGTCCTTGTTTTCTTTCTGATCATTATTTAAATGTCTGTTCACTAAAATACTGTTTTTCTATGACTTCATTGGTCATTCTTGAGTTCTGCACAAAACTTTATGCTCATTCCTCATTCATTTATCTGAGAGACCTTGTTACATTTGTCTCATACCTTAACATATATATACCTTATATTATTATGAGGCATTGTATTTATAATTTATATCAGCTAATGGTGGGGAGGGGAAATGTTTGTCTGTGGAATGGTCAATTTCTCCAGAGTGGTTTAGCCAAGTGTCTTTTTTTATTAACTGCTCCCAATTATGTACAATTTCAGCCCCCCCCCCCAAAAATTAAAGATAAATGATTGCTCAGATATTCCATACTTTCTAATAATTTAATTTCTCATTATTTTTGTTAGAAGGAAGAAATGCAGGACAAAATAAAGTGAAAATCTATTTTTTGAATTAAAACTAGCTTTTGTAAGCCTGTCTTTTTGACAGTTTGTAAAAACCTGTGGACATTTTGTGCTATGCTTCCATGTTGCTATATTTTGCCACTTAGAACAATATTTGGAATCAAGTAAAATATAAAATAAGAGAAAAATGTGAAAAAATTGATATACATCATCATGAAAATACTTTGGTGTTAAAAAAATGAAAAAAGCTGTGAGGATATATTTTCAGTGCATTTTGAATATACAGAATTTTCCTTTGCAACAGCTAGTTTTATGTTTTGAGGGTCTGAACATTCATCTATTGTTTTATAAGTGCCTGAAGTGAAAAAGGCTTGAGATTAAAAATGAGGCATATCATCCTTAAATGAAAAAATATTAACGGTGTGTTACTGTATGATTGTTAATTTGCCATTAAAAAAAGGAATAAACCTGCCCATAATGCTTTTGCTACAAAGAATACTTTACTTTTGCTGTTTCAAGAATATATGTGAATATTCAGTATATTCCAGCAGTGTCTTCTATATTTGTTTGCTAATTTTGTTTGTTAATATACTCAAGTGTTAAAGATTTGTTACTAATGTAAGCACAGTGACATCTGACGAAAATGGCTCTTTTTCACATAGCACTGGGAGAAATGGTGTAAATACAGAAATTTAGAATAAAAACACTGTTTGTGTCTTTATTTCAACATTTTTTTGAAGTTTCAGAAGTTCCACCCATCATTGCTTGATTTTTTTTAAAAAAAAATACTTTACAGATGTTCTTTTATCATGTTTCCACAGATTTAAATTTCCCTTTCTTTAACCAATTATAGAAATAACTTATAAGAATGGAAAGAAAATAATCCCTTGTATCTGTATTCAAGCCTTTACAAGAAGAAAAGCAAAAAGAGGAAGAGGAACAGAATATGAATACAGATGTTGATCATATCTGAAATATGGATAGCTTTGTTATGCTGCACTGGTCTTCCCATTTGCGGCAGATTCACGTATAGGTGATCCTGGACTTACAACAGGTCACTTAGTAACCAAAGTTAAAATGGCTCTGAAAAAAGTAAGTTATGGCCACTTTCCCACACTTAACGACTGTTACAGCATCCCCATGGTCTCATGATCAAAATTCAAATCCTTAGCAACTGATTCATATTTATGAGGGTTGATGTGTGCCGGGGTCATGTGCCCCACATTTTGCATTTTTCTGACAAGCAAAGTCAATGGAGAGGCCAGCCACATTACTAATTTAACAACTGCAGTGATTCACTTACAACTGTTGTGAGAAAGGTCATAAGGTGATAGACAGACAGACAGACAGACAGACAGACAACCTTTATTGTCATTTTTTACTGTGGGAACAATGGCACACATTAAAAATGGGAAAAACTCGCTATCTTGCTTAGCAACAGAAATTTTGCACTCCATTTTGGTTGTAAATTGAGAATTGAGTATTCAGCATTTCTTGTGCATCCTTCAATTTACAACCAATCACAGTTATGTATTGGCATCCACTGCAGGGACTGATGCTTCTACAAAAGGATGGTATGGGCTGGTGGATATGATTTTGTCCACAGAAAACATGGCTTCCTTTCAAAATTGCTGTAATCCTAAAAGTTATACTAAACATATAGCCGTCAATAGACTTGCAATCTCAATATATTGATACATTGATACATCCGAGACAGATTGTCAGTCATCTAATGATTGCAAACAAATCATGAAATGAGTGTATGGGAACCCTCAGCTAATTTTATGATCAGCGCTGTTTTTTAAGGATTTTGCCATAGTTATGGTTATCACTTATAAACTAGCCGTTTCTTTGAGTCAATATGTAACTATTTTGCTAAATGAGAATGCAGCATTCCTCTCTCTTCCCCCCCCCCCCAACTTCCTTCTCCAATTCTGGTGCTCTTGCCGTAGATCACATTTCTCATACTAATGAGATTCAATCTCCAGGGAGCATATAGTAATGAGAGTGAGCCACTTTTCATATAAAATTGCCTTTTGTTCTGATTAACAGGTTTGCATACAAAAGCTAATGGTAATTGGAACAGAGAACAAAGATCCAGGGTCATGATAAAAAGGAAATATGTCTGTAGACTTGACAGGTTTAGGGTTCTCAACTTCATCCAGCTCCTTTTATTGGTTGCTGTGAACCACCTAGAATACAATCTGAGGTGGGCAGTCTTCTCTCTTTCTCTCTCTTTTTGTCTCTTTCTGTCTCTTTCTCGCTAAAGAGATTAGAACAGGAACAGCTTCTTTTTTCTGGAACATAGTTCTTGGATCTCCCAAAAACCATCTTCTTCCTTTTTAACCTTTCTGCATGTTGATATTTTTTGACAGCTCTTTATTATCCAAGTCATTTCCCCCATCTATTGTAAGTAATAAATCCTTCAACCATAATCTGTGTCTCTTCTGTATTGTTGGACATATCCACTTATATATTCTAATACCTGCAACTACCCCCAGTATGGATTATATATATCCAGGCATAATGGATAAAATAAGATGAATATCAGTAATCCCTGTGTTTCATAAAGCAGAGGTCCCCAACCTTTTTGGCACCAGGGACTGGTTTCATGGAAGACAACTTTTCAGTGGACTAGGAAGGGATGGTTTCAGTTTTAGTCGCTCATCCACCACTGATCTTCAACTGTGTGACGTGGTTCCTAACAAGCCAAGGACTAGGACCAGCCCATTGGGGCATAAATGCATAAACTGATATAGGTAGTATACCATATATACTGTCCATATTGCATAATAAATAGGAATAAAATCTGACCTGGATTATATACCTTCCTACATCTTTTCTTGTGGGAAAGATCCAAGAAGATAGTTTAAAGGTCTCCCGCCTAAAAGATAGTATTTGGAGGAACTCAGTACAAATGCCAAATCTCAAAGAGTTTGTTATGATGATTAAATTTGTAATTCAGACTTCAAAGGTAAGTGTCCTTGTTTCATAACATGATAGTTATTGGGATTCAGCTTTGGGATTACCTACTATTAAGAAAAATGCAGATTTAATGAATCATATGGTGAGTTCCTATCATCTACATTCCTAGATGACTTCTATTGCAACTTTGTCAAATATAGCTCAAACAATAGAGAAGCAATAATTCCACATAAGGTTCATGTAAAAATTTTAAACATTTTGGTCCATATGAGGCCAGGATAGAGATATATTTGCAGGAAATGAATTCTTAATAAGATTTATTTGTGTGTTATCATAATAAATTGGAGCTAACATGGAGTTTAGAAGATTTCAGGACTGGAGATTTTATTATGAATTGTCAAATGTCTCTCCTGGCTCTGAAATTAACCACAGTTTTTTCTGTATTGAATGTAAGTGCACAGATCAATTAATAGCATATATATGCTATAAGTTTCATCAAAGTTCTATCCATTCCACAATTTTTAGTAAAACAAGAAAATCTTCATTCACTTTTGTGTTCAACACAATCAAAATATTTGTTACAACAGTGACCACATTTTTTCCGTATGGTATGAATTTTGTATTCAACTTTTTGAATAATTTGATTTTGGCATACAATTTTTGAACTAAAACTATTTTGAGATCATTTTGGGAATCATATGCCCATTTGTGCAGCAATGGATTCCAGCTTGATGGATCCCATTATTCTCTGAAAAGAAATCTGTGATGAAATTTTCTACAGTCCAAATTCCAGAGCTAGCCTCAAACTTCCTGAATTATACTATAACTTTTTATCAAAACAATGTCTTAATATTATTCTACATTTCATGGAAGAAAGGGGGATTATTAAAATTTGGCTGGCTTATCCTACCATTAAAACATGTTCCCCCAATTGCTTAGATACTGAAAGAAATAGTAGTTCCAATATTTTACAAAAAGGTTTAGAGGACTCTGCCACAATATACAGTTAAGATGGCTAGTTGTGCAGAATTATATAAACTCAAAGTGCAATTGCCAGTACAGTACAAAGTATATAACATAGCAGAAATATGTATTTCTGAATTAATTCATGATACTGGTTATATGATTAACAATAGCAATAGCACTTAGACTTATATATCACGTCATAATGCTTTACAGTACTCTCTAACTCTTAGAGTCAGCATATTGCTCCCAACAATCTGGATCCTCATTTTACTGACCTTGGAAGGATAGGAAGCTGAATTAACCTTGAGTCAGTCAGGATCGAACAACTGGAGGTGAGCAGAGTTAACCTGCAATACTGCATTTTTACAACTGTGCCACCACGGCTTCATTAGGAAGACTGTTCTTCATTGACTTCCATTCCTTTTGTGTACAGTGGCATATTATTGATTTTATCATCAAAATTAGGAAGACGCAGAGGAACAAAAGTAAAAACATATCAGACAAGAGAATTTAGAAATATTGATTAGTAACTCAAGACATTCAGACCATTGAACTTGTCTTCCACAGAAATCAAAGAAAATTCAGTGTCCAGAGGGCCTGCGTTCGAATAACTTGTTTTCAAAGCTCTCTCAATTATATTTGCTTTGTTTTGATAACTTATTTCATCATCAGAAGTCTGGAAGAATGCCTGTAATAAAATATAAAATATCTATATATAATAGGTGCATGTTCATAGCAGAGAATTTTAGATGATTTGTTCAACTAAAAGTAATCATTCTCAAGTGAAGAACAAGGGCCTCTAAATAATGAGTTTCAATTATTCTTGAATCTTCTCAAATGGATTACTAAATGTTCTCCTTATCTTCTAACTTTTTATATCTAGTGAATACTTTGATGGCCTATGAACATTCTGTCTACTCCATAATTATTATTGGTATCATCAGTGGTTTCTCATCAAACTTAAATAGTTATCAAAAAGTTTCATATTTTCATTAATGACTTAAGAGTGGAGAAAATACTTATCATTATTTGTGAGTGCCGTAGATATGGATAGCTAATATCCAAAAGTCAAACAAAATTCAAACTAGGGTGAAGAAATGAACTGAAAACTAATCATATGAAATTTACTAAAGATAAATGCACAGTTCCTCACTTTAAAAACAGAAATCCAAAGCACAAGTATAAGCATGAATATGCAGAAATTAATATTAGACCACCAACAAGAAGCAAACAGTATCCCAATCAAGAAACTACCATCTTGGATAAACAAACTAACAGCAACCCAATCAAGGAACCATCAAGACTATTCCCACCAAAACTAACAGCACAAGCCAAGAATATAAATTATAGCAAATCCCACTTCCTACTAGCACTAATAATGTTACCTAGTTTGGTAATGGAACATTTGCAAGAAAACAATCTAAGAGAGCACCAACTACTCCATAGTTCAACCCTGAACTGTATATATTGTCATCTAAAGATATAAGCTATTATTAGTGGTGGTGGGGAATTAATCACAAGGATTATGATTTAGATTGCAACAATAGAAATGTAGCTTTTAAATCTAGGGATATAATAGCAGCACCATTTTCTGCATTAATCAGATTCCTTTGAGCAAACTTCCACATAGGGCCATCATTCTGCAAAACAGGGGCAGTCCAAAGAAGCAATGAGAACAATCTGAATAATAGAATCAAACATTCATAAGTAGAGACTGAGGATTAGTCTTATGGAAAAAGACTGAAGAGAGACATGATAGCACTTTTTAAGAATTTGAAGGATGTCAAACAGAAGAAGGTCAATTTATCTTCTT